TTTCAGTTTAATTAGAATAAAGCTTTTTCTGAGCAAAAGGAGATAGACAGGTACAAATGAAAGGCCTTCCAAACTCCTGCACTAGTAATGATCATCCACATTTAAGAGAATTAGCACTCATTGCTAGTATATGTGCACTTTTATGTACAATTAAGCAAAAAAAAAATCTAAAAATCTTGACAGTTTAATTTGTTTTAAGATTTTTCAGCTGGGAGAAGATAACACAGTGGAAGACACATCCCCAAATACACTCAAGCATTGTCACAGTCACATGTACAATCGCATACCTTCAGAATTTAGAATCCAAGAGTAACAACAGATTTATTCTTGGGAAAATAGTAAGGTGCCTAAAAATGTGCAAACACTCGAAGTATTTAGGGCAGGGGTGTCAAACATGTGGCCCGGGGGCTGGATCAGGTCCCCAGAGGGCTTCTTTCAGGCCCACAGTGGAACTGGCTGTCTTCTGCTTCTTCTTCCAGTTCTGCTACTGCTGCATCATCGTAGGTTTGCAGCTTACAGATACACGCCTGAACAGCATACTCAAGATTGCAACAGCACAGACATTTTGATGCAATAATTCAGAGCAAGAGGTGTCAGTTATCAGACACTGTTAAATAAACAAAATATTGCAAGAGTGCTAATGTTTTAAGGCATGTTTTTATTTTAAGTAAAAAAAATCCTTTGTGTTTGTGTCCTTTATAAAGTTTATATCTCCGCTACCTGGCATTACATTTTATGACACACATGGCCCGGCCCAAGAAGGTCTCATTTATGTCAGATCCAGACCTCATAACAAATAAGTTTGACACCCCTGATTTAGGGCTTATTAAATTGCTTCTTGTAGTACTTCTCATGGGAAAAGAAATTAGAAAAAAGCACTGGAAATGTGTTCCTTTTTAAAGATGGGTAGTCGTGTTAGTCTGTCTGCAGCAGTAGAAAAGAGCAAGAGTCCAGTAGCACCTTCCAGACTAACAATATTTGTGGCAGGATATGAGCTTTCATGAGCCACTGCTCACTTCTGCATTCTAGATGTATCTGAAAGAAGTCAGCAGTGACTCACGAAAGTTCAAACCTTGCCACAAATTTTGTTAGTCTTGAAGGTGCTACTGGATTCTTGCTCTTTTCTGCTCTTCCTTTAAAAAGTTAACTGCTTAGTCTCCCATGTGTAAAACATGATTGAAGTCAGCTGAGCTGCAATGTTTGCACTAGCTCCAGTGACTGTATGTGGCATGAGTCTAGTGAATAGATAATTTTACTTGGAAGCGATCTACCACTGAAATACTCGTTTTACTTTAAACACAAACACACATTGATTGTATTTTTTCTGATTACCTTCACTGCTTTAGCAGTTTCCAATGATTGTTCAGGAGGGATTCCTACTTCTCGTTCTCTTAGCAACTGTTGAATAAAGTAAGTTATATCTCGTCCGGCAATTGGAATGTGTTTGATACAGCTGCCAATCACGTAACCTTCAGCCTGGAAGTAAAATAAATGTTTTTCATAAACTTCAGCAATAATACCATGGTGTACAAAGCAGGCACACACTGAATGGAAAAATATACGAGCATTTACAGGGCATATAAAATCAGTACAGGCACCGTATTTACCTCACTGTAACTCTACCAATACATAGACAATATATTCTTTTTTCATGCGAAGCTCTGCATTTGCAGAGTAGAGAGGGGTAAATCATCAACACTCCATAATTTGCACATCAGCAGTTAGTTAAAAAATAGTTCCAGAGAAAGATGTAATATGAAGAGATACAGACATTAAACGTCTTACACACTGGTCCACTGGTTTTATCATCCTATCCTACATTTAGTTTTTATTTACTGACAATACTAATTGAAATTTTAAATTGTGGTCTTTTAGGTGTTCTTTATAGTGGTTATTTTATTTACATTGTAAATTGCCTTAAATTCTGCAAGATAGGTGGCTAATAAATGTTTTAAATCAATAAATAAAACCTTTTTCTTTGAAGTGTACCTACCTAGTAAATTCCTGACATCTCCCATAAGGAGTTGTATTTTTGGCATTTTCATCTGTTTCATCTAAATATTGCTGGTATTTAGTTGTATGAGTAAATGTAACTTTAAGCCAAGGTATCATTGGGGCCAGCATACTTTAAGGACTGCTTAGTCCCACGTGAACTTATCTGCCCACTCCAATCATCTTCAGAGGCCCTGCTTCAGGTGCCCCCACTATCTGAGGCTAGATGGGTCGCAACCCGAGAAATAACCTTGGTTGTGGTGCCGGATCTCTCTCCCAGGGAGATTTGTCTTCCTCCCTCTATCATGGCCTTATGACAGCAGGTGAAGACTCTTTTGTTTTGACTGGTGTTCCATGTAGCCCTTACTAGTCCTCATCTCTGTCTATGTGTTTATCTGTTTATACACACACACAAACACATATACATTGTGTGTATAATTTCTATTTTAAAGGCTTTCAGTATTTGAAATGTTCGCTGCCTTGGGGACTCTGAATTTGGTGGAAAAGTGGCACAGAAATGTTCTAAATGAAATAAAGGGAAAAAAACCAAAGAACATTTTATTCTCAATAATGAGCCACTTCAGAGGTGTCAGGTGACTGAGAATCACAATCGCCATCACTGAAACAGGCTGTACACTAAGCGCAGCATTAGAAGAGACAACAATATAATGTCAAAGAATATGTTCTGTTAAGTACAAAATATCTGTAGAGCTTTGGAATATGTACGATGTGGAAAGGATCAGTAAGTAAGACGACATTAATAGTTCCTTGAAAGCTCAGGAGTCCAAATTCTTTTACAAAAAAAATCTGAGTAACAGCACTATCTAGGCCACTCTGCTACATTTCACTAGAACACCGGGGGGGGGGGGGGAGCTACAAAACTGGGAAATGCTAATGTTACAAATTCAGTCAAAACAGGGTATACAAAACAGGGTATATATAATCCACACAGGGAATGATAAAGACAGGTAATGAGCAATACACAGTAATTGTGTGTCTCAGAATAATGAAATCATTACAACAAGACTGTAAGGCATCAATCTTTTATGTTCTGCTTCATTTTACAGTTTTCTAACAGCCCACCAATCTGACAGTGTGAAGTTATTGGGAGAGCAGGCCTCTACATCTATACATATTCTGCAAGACAGTTGAGTTCTAGGGAAGCCAAACCACATGTGTTCTGCCTGCATTGCAATCTTCCCCAGATTCTTTTTTTCCATACAGCAGCAAGGGTAGAAAAAACCAGAGGGGCCACTGCCCACTAAGGTGATCCTCTGTTTGGTACAACACAGCCTTCCCCTGTTCCAAACACCAGATGGGGGAGATACAAAATATTCTGCATTCGGCAGGAATTTTCCTTCCACCCTGAAATGATTTTTTTAAATGTGCTCTATGTCAACAGAAGCATTACTTTTGTTGACATAGAGCAAATTTTAAAACTCCAGCATCCTTCTCTACAAGAAGAATCTCTAGAAATGGCATTACATAGTTTTATTAAAAGAACTTGCAACATACCAAGTTTTAAATGACAGCATAGGCCCCCAACATTAATTTTCATAATTACAAAATTTAAAAGCCAGCTCTAAGTATAGTTTCTATTCCTACATATATTGTTTTTCTGCAGGGTAAAGCTCACTAGGGAGTGACTGAAAAATAACCAGCTAGGCTATCCTTCCCATAGTGGCTATGTTTTACAAATGGCACGTTCAAGTTTAGTAAACCAGCCTTGTATTAGTGTATACTTACCACAGGAATGACATGAGTTACACCATCTCCACTATCTATAACTGTTCCAGTTAGTGTCCGCTCTCCTACTTGTCTTGATGTCCAAGACGCAGCTAAGGCAAGGACAGCCTTGCAAAGAGAAACCATTGGAGCATTAGTATTTTATCACAACCCTAAAAGCCTATTTTTCAAGTTAACGCACACATGTGAAATAAAAGTTTTCAACACAATTGTGCTGCTCAATGCAAAGTGACACATATTGTGTTAAAAACAGTACACGGAACTAGTATTTTTTCCACAGCGTGAGTACATATGTGGATCAATTTGCACTGTTTTTATTTTATATGACATAACTTGTTCATACTGTAAGAAGGGATATGTCTCCCCAACATCTAATCTAACCTGCCTCCAAGAACATGGCAAACGGATGAAGATTACCGTCACTAGTTTAAAGCACTATGTCTCCCCAACATCTACCCTGCCTCCAAGAACATGGCAAACTGATGAAGATTACCGTCACTAGTTTAAAGCAGTTTTGTTTATTGGGAGAAAGGGCTAGTTTTTGCAACAGATTACTCTAAACGCTAATTCTCATGGTGACATCACTGTGGGGAATGAATCATCAGTGATCTCTTGTCTAACAAAGCAGAATGTACCTTATATTATGGAGAATTAAGGGTTAGCAAACAGCACAGAAGAATTACATTATGTCTCATTTGACTGTGGGGAATTTTGTCTAAATTTGATCACACTGTAAACCACAGGTAGCCAACAGGTAGCTCATGCACTTCCAGCTGCTTCCCAGATGCTGTAGAGTAGCTTGTGTAGCCCCTAGAGGACCCAGGAAAACATAGTGAAAAGATATGCTCTAGGCTTTTTAAAAAGTTTTATTTCATAGGATTTTCTCTGTGCTGCTTCGCTGACAGCATCATTTCTGCTGCTCTTCCTAGACCATGTTCTGTTTCTAGGACAGAATAAAACTTGATGGGCAGGGTGGTGGTGGTAGATCAGGATGTTTTTCAGCAGTCAGGAGTTACAGGTTGGAAACCCCTGCTTTAAACCAACCACTTATTTTTTTTTAAGGAAATCAAGGTAGAGTACTACTTTGAAACATAATGTAGACAACATGCAGCTATGAAATACACAAATCATTTTTGAAAATGAAATGTGAGAAGGACAACAATTAAGATTAATTGTGTGTAGCTCTGATGGTTTCTCTTAAAGGGATTTTCTTTTGCATTGGTAAGACTTTTAAATTGTTATTGCATTATATCAATAAGGAGATGTTTTGGGCTAAAGTTACAGGGCACAGTTATTTTGGCTTTAATTATAAGGATGAATATTTAATTGCAGGAGCAGGAAATGCACACAACTGTAGTTTTCTAATCTACAGAACCAGAATTCAGGAAAGCAGTTCTGTGGCAACACAATGATTTTTAAAAATATAATTTTTGGTAAGTGAGTCTGGCAATTTTACCACTCATTTTATTATGGTGTGTTTCTTTTGGGGGGGAGGAGGGAGGAAAGGCATTCTTGATGCTGCAACAATTGTGGTGAGAGAATTCAAACATGGGTCTTATTTATTCCCCATAAAGGTCATAAAAGGCTGGTAGAAGCTGCATGAAGGCCAATATAAGGACAATATTTTCTGTATACTCTACTCTTAAAGAGTATTACTTCAGATGCTCCCTCTAACTTAAACTAAATTATTTCTTACCTGAACAGCAATGTAAAGTCCAGGAACATTGAAAGACTCAAACATGATTTCAGCAGTATATTCCCTGTTTTCTGGAGTATTGAGAGGTGGTTCAGTCTGTAAAGCAGAAAAACCTGTAGTCACCACAAACGAAATACACCAAATATTCTGCCAAACTGAACATGCCATATATTCTGCCAAACTAAACACGCCAACAAATATTCAGCTTCTTTTAACTCAGCAGTTAAACTTGGCCACAGAAGTTTCCATGTTTTGCCCTAAAGAACAACTGGCATTCCAGCTCTTATATATATACTAGCAGTAAAGCCCGTTGTGAAAGCAATACAACGAAATCTAGAAAGAGGCTCTGGGGCAGTGCTCTGGCTTTGGGCAAACAGTGTCAATTTGCTGTGGTGACCTCAGCAGGGAATAATGACAGAGTCCACTGTTTTCTCCAGAGGAACTGATCTCTGCTACCTGAAGAGCAGTTGTAATTGTGAGTAATCTGTAGCCCTCACCTGGAGATTGGCAACAATTGTTACCCAGGACAAAATGGCTGGTTTGGAGGGTGGAGTCTATGGCATTCTACCTGTCAGAGGTCCCACCCCTCTGCAAACCCCACCCTCTCCAGGCTCCACCCCTCAAATCCCCAGGAATTTGTCAGCATGTAGTTGGCAACCCATCTCCTTCCCAGCTAGCCACCAACCTACCATTATCTGCCCCTTTGACTTCAGCTGACTTCTGCCCTCCCTTCTGCAGAGCAGTTGTAATACTGAGTGCTCTCCAGCCCTCACCTGGAGATTGGCAACAATGGTTCCCTATGTGGGACTGACTGGTTTGGAGGGTGGAGTCTATGGCAGTGTACCTGTCTGAGGTCCCACCCCTCCTCAAACCTCACCCTCTTCAGGCTCCATCCCTCAAGTCTCCAGGAATTTCCCTTCTGGAGTTGGCAACCCTATCAGGATTGGCCCCAATGTGGTTTCTCCCAAAGGCCAAAGTAGGTGACAGGACCAAGCTTAGTTGCCTACCAACAGGCACTGAGGGGAATGTAGGGTTGCCAGCTCTAAGGAGGGAAATACCTGGAGGTTTGGGGGGTGGATTCTGTAGAGGGCCGGGCGACGGAGGCATCGGCCTTCTGTCGCCCGCCTTGCCCCCCCAATCTCGGCCCGGGCACCCGCGGCTCCCACCAGCGGCCGCCCGACTCCAGACTCCCCCGCGGCCACTCCAGCCAGGCGACGGAGGCATCGGC